GCCAGCAGGACTCGCCCCGCGTCAGAGCATCGCCCAGCTTCCCCGGTGCTGCTGTAGATGCTCCGGGCCCGCAGAAGGGTGGCACGCAACCCCTGGCACCGCTCCGAGGTAAGCCGGGCTGGGGGCTGCTCGCACACATGCTGCAGTGCCTGCCGAGCTGCTGTGCTGAGCCGCAGCCCTGACCCGAGGAGCGCTCGGTGCCAGCGTAACGCTTCGGTTTGATGTGACAAAAGTGGGTTTGTGTGGAAGAAGTGCGTGTGAGAGCGGCCGCCCCGTCCTCTCGGAAGGGCCCCGGACACATGGCAAGAGACCCCTAATGGCAGCATCCTATGGGGCTGAAGGGCCGGCACGGTGCCCAGCCCCACATCTGGGCCACGCTCGCTGCCCACTGCCACAGCCCCGCCGTGCCCTGGGCTTGAAGCATCACTGTGCGGAGGGCAGAGCAGTGTGAAAATCTCTTACCCCGCAGCCTCTGCCACCCAGATTGTTCCTGGGGATGCACCAAAGTGCCTTTCTGTACCCCAGGCAGTGGCTGAGCGTGCTGCAGGCGTGTGCTAAGCTGCCGCGCACCTGGGAGGCACAGCCACAACCCTGCCACAGGGTGACAAAGCCAGGCGGTGGCCGTACCCCTCACTGCAGGGCACTGCCCAGAGGTGGACACAGCCACGGTGCTGCAGGAAGGCTGCAGCAGTGCACAGCACAGCAGAGCTTGGCTGCAGCCCCAGCAGTGGGGCTCAGAGCGGAGGGCTGCGGGTGCTGCTGGGTGTGCGTGGAGCTGTGCTCGGATCCAGGCTTTGTGGCGCCGTGTTTCTGAGTGTCGGTGTGTCCCTGTGCTTCGCGTGTGTTGCACGCGTCGCTTCCTCCTCCATGGTTGCTTCCTGGTGTTCTGTAGTGGTTCTCCTCTGCCTCGAGAGCACAGCAGGGAGGAAATAAAAGGTTTGTGTTCCCGTGGGCACGTTGTGGCGTCTGTTCCTTCTGCCGTGCGCACGCTGCCCACCTGCAGCAGCCTGCAGGGCTCCAGAGCCAGCACGACGGCGGGGGGACATGGGGGGCCTGGCTGCACTGCTCTTGGGGCAGGGATGGTGGCAGCTCCAGCACGGTGGCAGCAGGGCACCATCCCAACCACGGTGCAGCTTTGGTGTTTGTGCGTCTGTTGGAAGCGTGGCTGTAGGCTGCCCGACTCCCTGGCTGTGCCATGTCAACCCCTCACCACCCACCCTCCTCTCTGCCATTCCCTTCTGGGACTGGGATGCTGCTGCTCCCTTTTCCTTCCCTGTGCAGCTGGAAAACGGAAGCATTTAAATCCAGTGATGTGGGGCAGCACGGGATGAGACTGCTGCCCTGGTACATCCCCTTCCTGTGCACACAACTGCGTGCTGTGTGGAAAGGGGCCAGATGCTGCCGCCTGCACAGGATGTTGGGGGTCAGGGCTCAAGCCTGGCTGTGCTGCCTGTCCTGTGCCACAAGATACAGGGACATCCTGCACCACTGGCCCTGACCCCAGGCAGGCTCATCCCCTCCTCAGCTGCTTCCTCAGAGCCAGATGCAGAGCTCCAGCTCTGGTCCAACTGGACTTGAGGGGACCTCATTTCAGAGCTCTCTGGTGCTGTGATGTGATGAGCCCAGGGTTGAGTACTGCTGCTTGCTGCCATTGTCCCTGAGCACCAGCACATGGAGTTTGGCTGCTGCACACCCAGAATGCCCCTCTAGCTGCACTGAGACCCATGTAGCAAGGGGCCTACTCTTGCTCAGGCTTCCTGCGTGCCCTCAGCTTTCTGTGCTGTCTTCACAGTCCCTGTGCTGTTTCCTTTTCCCCAGCTCCCAGGGCCAGCCCAGCCCTTATCTCGGGAGCTGTGTCCTGCAGACCTCAGCACTGCTGTTGGTGCTCGTGCTCTGTCCCCTGCAGGCACTCATTAGCAGCCCTCCTCCATCACGGCTGCCGACATGCAGCGCAGGCTCAGGGCTTTGTCTGCGGCCACAGCCTGTCCCTGCGGTGCGGGGCCGCGTGGCTGTAGCTCTTTATTCTCACTCCAGCATCCTGTTTCCCATTAGCTGCGCCGTGCTGGTTACCGCCCTCCTGCTGCCGGCGTTCCAGCAGCTGCTAAAGTTTTGGCAGCAGCCAGTCCGGCTCTGCTGCCAAAAAGTCCTCCAGGCACAGGGGGCTGATCCTGTGCCAAAGCCCTGCCTGTGCCTCGTGTCGGGGGATCCGTGCTTGCCCCACGCTCTTTGTGTGGTGGGGGGGGGATCTGGCCTCAGTGCAGTGCAGCACCTCATGTAGCTCTCTGCAATCAGCCGTCTCCTTTGTCCCACAGGGTCCCTGCCGGCAGGTGCCTGCCTGGGGTCGGTGCTGGGTGCCAGCTACAGACTTCAGGAGGCTCCACACGGTGGTGGCAGCAAGCAAGGGGCCACGCATGGCACCGTGCTGCTGCAGGTATGGCTGTGCAAAGGGGGAGTGAGGGGTCTGTCCACTTCCCTGGGGGTCTGAGGGATGTGGGGCTGGAGCATGGCACAGCCACGGCTGCACCAGGAAGGGACGGGCCCTAATGTTCTGCTCTCTTCCCTGCAGGTGTTCCCAAAGAAGCTGAATGCCAGGAGGGCCCTGGAACAGCCCGGGTAGGTGCTGGCATGGCCACGGCGCTGATCCAGCCCACAGGAACCCCATCCCCATCCCAGACCCGGTGCATCGCTAAGCCCCTCACTATCCTGTGCGGTTCCCTGCAGCCCGGGGGGGCTCACCACCCGCCCCAGCAGGATCCCAGTGCGGAGGAAAGCAGCAGCATCCCTGAGCTTGTCGGTGCTCAGCTCCAGCAGCACTACAGCCCTCCAAGCCCCGACGCACAGCTGCGCTGCGCTCTGCACCACGCAGTCAACCCCAGGTGGAGCTGTCCCGACTGCCCTGGTACAGGAGGGCAGCAACACAGCACCAGCCCTGACCCCACTCCCTGTACCCCCAGCACCCTGCCTGGAGACCCCAGTCCCTGGCAGCAGGGCACCCAGCGTGGAGCAGCTGCTGGGCGAGGGTCTGCGCCCCCAGGTACAGCCCAGGGGGCGGCGGGGGAACGTGGCACGTGTGGGGCGCTCCATCTCTGGCCTCCCCCCATCCGCTGTCCTGCTTTGCAGTGCCCACCCAGCCTCACCGCCACCCGTCCCGTGCTGCGCTCCTACCGGCAGCTCTTCTCCTTCTGTGCTGAGGCCTGAGCGTGGCCACAGGCGCCGGACCCGCACGTGCCACGGCTGTGTGCCCAACCCGGGAGCCGCCGCGCGGCGAAGCCGCAGCCACCATCAGCGCTGCATTCGGTGCCCTGCGAGGGGTTGGGGGCCGCCCCGCTCAGCCCCCAGACTCCGAGGCATTTTTACATAACACGGTTTTGTCTCATGTCGTGTTTCTGTCAAAGCCCGCTCAGAGACGGCACGGTGGTGAGGGGTGTCACGGGGTGAGGGCTGAGGGGGATTCCACAGCTGCCATGGTGTGGTGCTGCTCTGTGTGGTGCGGCTCTGCGCAGCGCAGCCCTGTGGGGAGAGAGCACAGGGATAAGTACGGGGATGGGATGGGGTTTGGGATGAGGACAAGGTGGGAGTGTGTGTGACAGGAATATGGATGGGATGGGGGATGGGAACAGGGCTGGGAAACAGGATGGGGACAAAGGGGGTTCAGGATGGGAATGGGGATGAAGATGGTGACAGAACGTAGATGGTGATAAAGAAAAGGTGTGTGATTGAAACGGGGACACGATGGAGATAGGAATGGGGACAGGATGGAGACAAGGACAAGACAGGGGCATGTGTGACAGGGATGGGGACAGGGTGGGTGAGAACAAAGATGACAAGATGAGCAGGGGTCAGGATGAAGTGACCACGATGGGAATCGGGATGGGAACAGGGGACGGGGCTGGGGCCCAGAAGGGGGACAAGGGTGGCGATGAGGATCGAGACAGCGACGGGATGGGGATCAGGGAGGGGACGGGACGGGGACCAGGGCCGGGACGCGGTACCGGTGCCGCTTGGGGCTCGCTCCCGTTTCACTCCTGCCGCTTGGGGTTGTTAACGGCCACGTAGTGGTAGAGCACGACGAGCAGGAAGAGCGACACGCCCAGCATGTTGGCGAAGATGGCGAGCTGCACGTCCGTCACCATCCTGCGGGCAGCGGCAATGGGCACCGGGACCCCATCGGGCACCGGGCCCCGACCCCCCGCCCGGTACCGGAGCCCACAGCCCGCCCCCGGGCCTTCCCCTCCCGCCGCTCACGCGATGCCGCTCCGCTCCGCTCCCTCCGCCGCCGCCTCCACGTCTCTCGAGCGCCCCGCGCCACTTCCGGCGGCCACTTCCGGCCGCGGGGCACGGCGGGAGAGCGGGGGGCGGGGCGCGACGGGACGCCGTCCTCGTGACGTCATTACCCCGCCGTGACGACACGGCCGCGGGCGCGCAGCCAGCAGCGTCCCACGCGGGCCTCGCCCCGACGGGCGGCGGCGGCCAAAAATAGCGCGGGGCGGGGCGGGGGGCGCCTCCAGCCGCGGGGCTCCGCGCCCCCGAGCCGTGACGTCACCGCGGGGCCGGGGGGGGCGAGGCGTGACGTCACGGTCAGCCGGCGCCCGGGGGCAGCGCGGTGTCACGGCGGGGCCGGGGCTGCCCGTGACGTCACCGCGGGGTCACCGCGGGGACGTGGCACCGCGCGGCGCGGGGGGAGAAGGGAGGGAGAAGGGGGGGGGGGGGGGGAGCCCGCCGAGCGGTGCCACGTCCCCGCGGTGCGGGACACCCCCGCGGGGCGGTGCGGTGCGGTGCGGAGCCGCCCGGAGCCGAGAGCCGCGCGCTGCCCCCTGCCCGGCCCCTCGCCCCCCCCGCCGGGCCCTAACGAGGAGCAGATGTGCGGCGGCGGCGGGGGCGGCGGGGGCGGGGGCGGCGCGCGGTGCCCGGCGGAGCGGCGGCGCGGGGCGGGCAGGAAGCGGGGGGCCCCGGGGACGCCGTCGGGCGGCTGCGGCGGGGCGGCCCCGCGGCGGGGGTTGGCCGAGGGGAGGGGAGCGCCGAGCGGAGCGCGGGGCAGAGCCGAGGGACGGGACGGGACCGGACGGGACGGGGACGGCATGGCCCCGTGGCTGTGGCCGTGGCTCCTGGCCGCCCAGGCCCTGGCCGCCAACTTCCCCCCGCGCTACAGCCTCTACACCGGGGGGGCCGCCCCGCACGGCCCCGCGCGGGCCGCCAGCAGGCACAGGTAGGAGCCGTCCCGCGCGGCGCCGCTCCGACGGCTGCGGGGCGGTGCGGGGCTCGGCGCGGTCCTCCCGCGGCGGAGGAGCACGTGGAGGGCGCGGGGCGGGGGCTGCGGGCTGAAGGGAGCGGGGTGCGGGAGCGCGGCGGGTTCGGCCCGGCGCCGGGTGCGGGACGCCGGGAGGTCCCGTCCTCGCGCCGCACCGCGGGGTCTCCGTGCGGGCGTTGGGGCTGCTGCGGGGTCCGGTGATGCAGAGCTGCGGTCCTCCGCTCGCCGCAGCCACATCAGCACCGCAACAGCGGGGCCGTGCGGGAGTGGGTGGGAGGGCTGCACCGCGCGTCCGGCGCCGGCCACTCGAATGAGCGGGGGCACGCGAGACCCCGTTCCACGCGGGATATCGTCGCGGGGCTGAGCCGGAGAAGGGGAACGCGGGTTCGGCCTCCCCGGCCCGGCAGCGCACCGGGGGGCATTCACCTGCGGCTGAGGCCGCGGCCGGGGGTCCCGGGGGTACACCGCGATCCGTGCCCGCGGCTGCGTGACGCGGAGCCCCATCCCCGCGGTGCGGGTACTGCGCCCGTCCCCACCGGTCCGGGGTGCGGGCACAGCCCCGCGGGCGACGTCGGCCCGGGATAGGGGGGAGGTGCGGGGGAAGCGGGGGGGCCCTCGGCGCAGGAATTCCCGGCGGCCCCCGGGGAGGAGCTGGAATCCGGCCGCGGGCTGAGGGGAACCAGCCGGACTGCCGGGAACGGCCGCGGGGCTGTGGGGCGGCCCGGGGGGAGCGGGGGGGCCGCGCAGGACTCGGACCATATATGGCTGTGCGCAGCGCGGGGCCGGGCCGGGGTCTTGCGGCGGGGAACGGGCGGGGGGCCCTGCCCGGAGCCTGGGCGGGGAGGGGGTGGGGGGCCGAGCCCCGCCTCACCGCTCGAGTGGGATGGGGCGGGGGCGCGGGTCTCATCCCGGCTGTGTGCCGTCGGGGGCGGATGGGGCGGGGGCTGTGCCCCGCGCTCGCGGGCTCCGGGGTGAGGTGAGCCCCCGAGAGACGGCCGCGGGGCGGCAGAACCCCGATGCGGGATGGCACCGGGGGATGCCCGCACCACGCGGCTGTGTGTTCCGTCAGCGGGGTCCCCACAGCGCCGCGGCCTCACCTGGGGGCACCTCGGGGTCGGGCCCCTCTGCCTTCCCGTCCCACACCCCGCACGGTGCGCCCTCGGGGCTGCGGGGTTGGCACCAGCGGGAGAGGGCGTCGGCGGGACGGGATGCGGCTCATTAACCCGCAGCACCGAGCCGTGACTGCGCTACCGGGAGGGGGGGAGGGGAGGAGGGGGGTAAGGGGAGATGGCAGGAGGGGTGCGGAGCCCGGGGCTGCCGTTACGCTGCCGACCGCCTCCCCGCAGGAACTGGTGCGCCTTCGTGGTGACGCGCACGGTGAGCTGCGTGGTGGAGGACGGCGTGGAGAGCTTCGTTAAGGCCGACTTCCAGCCGTGCGCCTGGGGGCAGCTGCAGTGTCCCCGCGTCCTGGCGTGAGTGCCGCGGGGCTGGGGGGGAAGGAGGGGGGCTCGGGGCCGGCCGCCGTGTTTATCCGCTCTGGGAACGCTGTTTACTTTTTCGCAAGAACGCGGTCGCAGCGGCGCCTGACCTGCCCCGACCCGGCTCTTCTCAGACCGCACCGATGTGGGGGCTCGGGGAGCGCCGCCCGTGCTAATGGGGCAGCCGTGGGATGTGAGGGGGGGTGTCCAGACCGCACAGGGAGAGGCAATGGGTGGTGGCAACCCGTCCGGCTGCGCGACAGTCCCGTAGCCACGCGTACCTTCGCGTTCCTCCCAGCCCGGAGCCGCAGACCGGCGCTGGGGCGGAGTGGTACGCGCGACCGCAGGACCCCGCACCGCTCTGCCCGCAGGTACCGCAGCTTCCTGCGGCCCCGTTACAAAGTGGCCCAGAAGACGGTGTCGGACCTGGAGTGGCGGTGCTGCCAGGGCTACTCGGGGGAGGACTGCTCCGAGGGGCCGCAGCCGGGCTCCCCCCAGCCCACCGCCCACCCCCGGCCCCGGCCCGGCCGCCCCACGCTCTCCGGTTTCGGCAGCGCGCTGAGCGGGCTGGGGGGCGAGGGCGGCGCCGGCGGGGGAGGGGGAAGCCGTGGGGGGGCGGCGGCCCCGCGGAGCCCGGACGAGGCCGAGAAGGTGCGGCGGCTGGAGGAGGCGGTGCAGCGGCTGAGCCGGCAGCTGGAGGAGCAGCAGAAGCAGCTGCGGGACGCGCGCCGCGGTGCCGACGGCGGGACACCCCCGGCCGACGCCGCTCCCCCCGACGTGCGGGAGGCTCTCGTCCACATCCAGCAGCGGCTGCAGCGCCTGGAGGCGGCGCGGGACGGCGCCGGCGGAGAGGGGGTCCCCGGGGGAGTCGCGTCACCGGAGGAGGAGGAGAGGCTGCGGGAGATGTGCGCGGCGTGCGCGGCCGGCACCGAGGGGCTGCGGAGGCAGCAGGCGGAGGACCGCGAGCGCATGCGGGCGCTGGAGAAGCTGGTGGGCTCGGTGGACCAGCGCAACCGCGACGCCGTGGAGACGGTGCAGCGGCACGTCAGCGCCCTGAGCGCTCGCCTGGCTCCACCCGCGCCCCTCGACGAGCTGCTCCGGCGCACGACCGAGCTGGAGCGCCGCGTGGGAGCGCTGGAGACCGCACGAGGAGCGGGGCCGGGCCCGGGCCCGGGTCCGGCGCTGGCGCGGCGATTGACGGAGCTGGAGGGGCGGCTGAACGCGTCCCGCACCGCCGGGCCGCCCGACGGGGATTCGTCGCTCCGGGGCCGCGTCGCCAACCTGAGCCGCGCGCTGGAAGGCCTGGAGGGGCGGCTGCGGGAGCACGAAGCGCGGCTGCGGGAGCCCGCCGACCTCGGCGAAGAGGAGGAGCCGCTGGAGGGCTTCAGCGTGTTCGGAGGCGGCGCCGCGCCTTGGGAGCTGCGGGAGCTGCGGGCGGAGTTGGCGGACGCGCTGCTGGCTTTCGGGGCGCTGAACGGCACCGTGCGGGGCCTGCAGGACACCGCCGAGCAGCACGACGCGAGGCTGCGGGACCTGAGCGCCGCGCGGCAGAGCCTCACCTCCGAGCTGGACCGCCTCGTGGCAGAAGCGGCCGAACGCGCGGCGCGGAGCGAGGAACGCGGGGAGACCGCGGCGGAGTGCGGGGAGGCGCTGGAACCGCGCGTGGCCAAACTGGAGGGAGTCTGCGAGCAGTTGGAGGCGGTGGCCGGGGGGCTGCGGGCCGTGCGGGAGGGGCTGGGCCGGCACGTGGCGGGGCTGTGGGGGGCGGTGCGGGAGCTGAACGGCACCAGCCGCACCCACGACGCGCTGCTGGAGAAGCTGCAGGCGCAGCTCTCGCGTCGATTCGCGGCTCTCGACGGCAGCGTGCAGCAGCTGCGCAGCGAGGTGCTCGGCGGAGAGAAGCAGCAGACGGCCGGTGGGTGCGGGGGTTGCGGGGGTTGCGGGGGGAGGGGCTGCGGGAAGGGTGGGAAGGCGTGCGGGGATGGGGGAGGGAGGAAAAGGGGTGCGGGGATGAGGGAATGGGGATATAAGGAGGGAAGAGGTGGGCCCCGGATGGGGAAAAGGAGGTGAAGGAGGCAGGTTTGGGGGAAGCGGGGCCGTGTCACGCGTGGGGGTTTATGGTTTTGAGGACGGAGTGTGGAAACGGTTGCAGAGCTTGTGGGTGTGGGGCTGAGGGATGGGGACATGGCTATGGGGCATCGGGAGTGGGGGCATGTGAGAGCACAGGGATGGGAAGCTGAGGCCTGTGGCTGTGGGATGTGTGCAACACGAGCGGTGGGGACAAAGGGTGTGGTGTGTGGGGACACTTAATGGGAATGAAGGACCCTAACCCTCTCCATTTTCCCCAGGTCCCCCGGGGCCCCCCGGCCCCATGGGTCCCCCAGGGGAGATGGGCCCCTCCGGCCCCTCTGGGCCCCCTGGCAAGGATGGAGAGCAGGGCCCTGTGGGTCCCCCAGGTAGGGAGCAACCCCCGTGCCCTCGCAGCCCAGTGCTGGTGTGGCTGTGCCCACGGTGCCATTCTATCCCTTCTCTTACAGGTCTGCCAGGAGAGAGAGGTATGGGGGCACGGGATGGGGGGGGATGGGGATGGAGAGCATTGAGGGCCCCGTGCTGACACAGTGCCCAGGCCCGGTGGGGGAGCCGGGCTCTGTGCCCCACATCGCCTTCTCGGCCGCCCTGAGCACGCAGCGCACGGAGCCGGGCACCGTGCCCTTCGACAGAGTGCTGCTCAACGACGGCGGAGCCTACGACCCCGAGACGGGTGAGTGGGGAGAGGGGAGGAAGGCCACGGGGCTGATCTCGTCCCTGCGGCACCGTGGGAATCGCCACCCACTGCCATCACCTCCCAGGGACCTTCACGGCGCCGGTGAGCGGGCGCTACCTGGTGAGCGCGGTGCTGACGGGGCACAAGGGTGAGAAGCTGGAGGCGGTGCTGTCGCGTTCCAACCAGGGCATCGCGCGCCTGGACTCGGGGGGCTTCCAGCCCGAGGGCCTGGAGAACCAGCCCATAGCCGAGCTGCAGCCCAGCCCTGGCTCGCTGGGGGTCTTCAGCCTCATCGTGCCGCTGGAGACGGGCGAGACGCTGTGCGTCGATCTGGTGGCGGGGCGGTTGGCCCACGCACCCGACGAACCCCTCACCGTGTTCAGCGCTGCGCTGCTCTACGACACCCTGTGAGGACCCCCGCCACGCAGACCCCCCCACACCCTGTTATTTATCAGCACCCCCCGTCCCCATGCCCATGCTGCCACCTGCCCTGCACCTCCTTCCCCCCCCCCCCCCCCCCCCCCCCCCCCCCCCCCCCCCCCCCCCCCCCACACTCCGTCCCACCCAATAAAGATGCGACACCGGGTTTTGTACCCCCGTCTCCTGCCTCCTTCCTGCCCCGTCGCTTTATTGCCCCTCCAGGGCGGGTCCCACTGCCGTCCCATTGCCATCAGAACTCCTCATCCCATCCCGAAAACTCCTCCTCCACTGGCGTCGAATCAACCGAGTACCGCTTGAAGTTGGCATAGGGGGGGCCCTGGGTGGTGGGGTCAGCGCCAAGCCCCCGGCCCCCCCAGCGTCCCCCATCCCACACTCCATCCCCACCTCCTTCAGTAGCTGTATAGTGGGTGCCTCCATCTGCCGCAGTGCGAGTCGCTTCCATCGAATGGCCCCGAACCACCTGGAGACAGGGGGGCTGCAGGAAGGGCCACGGAGGGGGTGGCATGAGATGCCCTGCTTTACATCTGTGTCTCCTCACCTGTGCTTCTTAATGCCACGGATACCACTGGCTGTGTTCCCCAGGCGCTGTCCTGGGCGCCTCCTGTGAAGGGATGGGATGGGGGTGAGGATGGGGATGCGATGGAGATATGGGGATGGGGATGGGGATGGGGATGGGGATGGGGATGGAGCCAGACCTGCAGAGCTTGGCAATGAGAGAGCAGGCAGCCTCACTGAGAAAGGCAGGGAAGGAGAAGATGCCATCCAGGATACGACTGTAGATCTTCTGGGGGTCGGTGCTGTGGAAGGGGGGCCTGCACGGCACGGGGGAGTCACAGCTGGCCAGGGGAGTGAGTCAGGCTCAGCCCCGAGGCACACGCTCACCTGCCCACCAGCATCTCAAACACCAGGATGCCCAGCATCCAGAAGTCAACAGCGAAGTCGTGGCCCTCGTGGCACAGCATCTCGGGCGCCAGGTACTCAGGCGTCCCACAAAAGGAGAACGTCTTCTCCCCACGCTCCAACTCCTTGGCAAAGCCAAAGTCCACCTGCAGCACAGCAGCCCTCAGCCCCCCGAGCCCAGATCCTCACGCAAGTGTCAGGACTCAGTGCTGCCCCCAAGCCTCGGTACCAGCTTGACGTAACCCAGCTGGTCCAACATCAGGTTCTCGGGCTTCAGGTCCCGGTAGACGATACCGTGACCGTGCAGATACTCCAGGCCCTCCACCACACAGGCAGAGCAGAACACGGCCAGCGGTTCCTCAAAGCAGCGCCTGCAGCAGAGCGGGACCAGCGTTCGGCACAGCGTGGCACGGCATTGCCTGGCACTGCAGCACACGGCTGCCCACCCCGTGCCCCAGCCCCGTACACCTCACGCAGTTTGGTCCACAGCTCTCCTCCCTGGCAGAACTCCAGCAGCAGGTAAATGTGCTGCGCATCGCGGAAGGAGCCAAAGAACCTGCAGTGGGAGCAGCTCAGTGCTCTGCACGGCACTCCCAGCCCCGCACAGCCCCCCCCCCCCCCCCCCCCCCCCCCCCCCCCCCCCCCCCCCCCCCGGCACCACGCAGCCCCCGCTCCAGCACTCACCCCACAATGAAGGGGCAGCGGCTGCGGGCCAGCACCCTCCTCTCCGTGAGCATGTGCTCCTGCTGCCGCGTCCGCACCACCCAGTCCTTACGGATCCGCTTCAGTGCAAAGAGCTGCTCGCGGCACCGCACCTGGCGGAGGACACCGGGATGGGGACAGGGACGGCACAGCCGGGAGCCCGCGGGTCGGGCACGGCTCTCACCAGTTCCACCCTGCCGAAGCCGCCGGTGCCCAGCACGACGCGCTGCCCCTGCTTCTGCCCCTCCTCGTAGTGCACTGCTGCCAGCTCCTCCAGCTGCACTGCTGGGCAGGGCTGCGGCAAGTGGGGGGACCCCCAGCTCCTGTGGGAAGTGCACTGCCCTGCAGAGCCTGCACCCAGAGTGCCTGTCTCCATCCCCATCACTACCTCATCCCATTCCATTCCCAATCCAATCCTTGTCTCTATTTCCATCCCCGTCTTATTACCATGCCATTCACGTCCCCATCCCCATCCCCATCCCCATCCCCATCCCTATCTCCATTCCCATCCCATTCCCATCCTCATCCCCATCTCCATCCCCATCTCTATCCCCATTCCATCCCCATCCCCGTCCTCATTTCAATCCCCGTCCCCATCCCCATTTCCATCCTCATTTCCCTTCCCATCCCCATCCCATTCCCATCCTATTCCCATCCTCATTTCCATCCCCGTCCCCATCCCCATTTCTATTCTCATTTCCATCCCCATCCCCATTCCTATCTCCATTCCATCCCCATTCCCATCCCCACCCCCATTCCTATCTCCATTCCATCCCCATCTCCATTCCATCCCCATCCCCATCCCCATTCCTATCCCCATTCTCATCCCATTCCCATTCATATCTCCATTTCCATCCCATCCCATCCCTTCCCCATCCCCATCTCCATCCCATCCCCATCCACATTTCCATCCCATCCCATCCTCATTCCCACCCCCGTCCCATCCCCATCCCCATCCCCATCCCCATCCACATCCACATTTCCATCCCATCCCCATCCCTATCTCTGTCCCTATTCCCATCCCATCCCAATCCCACCCTCATCCCATCCCTATTCCTGCCTCTAACCCATCCCACCCTCATCCCATCCATCCCACACTGACCGCCTGGGTTCCGTCAGGGTGGGCGCTTCTGTTACAGACACATTTCTGCAAATGGAAGCAGCACCAGATCAAACCCCCCCGACACCCAGAGCCACACAGCATGGCTCTGGGCACGAGTTGGGTTCTGGGATCTGGAGTTCTGGAGCCATCAGGGAGGGCAGCACGCAGGCTGTGCTGAGCACGCGCCGGGGCCATGCTATGTTCCCAGGGCAGAGTCCAGCACCCGCTGCCGGTGCCACGTCACCGTGCCCAGCACCCACCCAGGCAACGATGTACATGGGGACCTTGGGCCCAGAGCGTCCCCACGGGGACACTCACACGTCTGAGTCGTGGCGGGGGCAGAAGGGGATGATCTCCAGGAAGTCCCTGCAAGGCAGAGCCATGCAATCAGTGCCATGCAGGACATGGGGATGCAGGGATATAGGGAGACAGGGACATGGCAATCTGAGGACATGGGGACATGAGGACATGGGTACATGGGGACATAAGGACACGGGGATGTGAGAATACAGGGACACCCACTCCTTGGCCACGGTGATGCAGGTGACATGGCCCTGTGCTTGGCACGACGCTGTGCGGCGGATGTTCCTGTGTGGAGGAGCGGGTGTGCAAGAGCTCTGTGCACGTGAGAGCCGGTGCATGCGTGTGCATGAGAGCTGCATGCATGCATGCAGTGCTGCCCTGCATCCCTGTAGGGCACCTACTGCAGCAGTGAGAGCTCCCCAAAGTGCTCGCCCGCACCCAGCACCCGCAGCAGCTTCTCCTGCCCGTCTTCACGCCGGCTGACCCGCACCTGTGGGGATGTGGGGCTGAGTGGGGTGAGAGAGACCCGGTGCTGTCCCGTGGCACTGCCCCACAGCACTGCACCCACCTCACCCTTCAGGATGATGTAGAAGCTTTGACCCTCGTCACCCTCGCGGATGATGAATTGGCCGGGTGTGAAGGAGCACTATGGGCACACAGAAGCTCAGGGTTGTGCTGTGTGGGGGGTACTGTCCCATAGCCCCCGCCTGCATCTGTACCTCATCCATGGCATCAAGCAGCTTGGAGAGGTGGCTGTCTGACAGTTCCTGCAGCCAGTGCACCCTGTGGGAGGGCACAGCTCCTGTGCATGCTGCAGCACACTTGCATTCCCCCTGCATCCCTCCTGCATCCCCCCTGCATCCCTCCTGTATCCTTCCTGCACCCCCATTGCATCCCTCCTGCATCCCCCTCCACCCATCCTGCATTGCTCCCACATCCCTCCTGCACCCCCACTGCAACCCTCCTGCATCCCCCTGCATCCTCCTGCACCCCCCTGCATCCCTCCTGTATCCCTCCTGCATCCCTCCTGCATCTCCCTGCATCCCTCCTACATCCCCCTGCACCCCTCCCGCATTCCCCCTGCACCCCTGTTGCATCCCTCCTGCACCACCACTGCATCCTTCCTGCACCCCCAAATCCATCTCTACCACATCCCTCCTGCATCCCCCTGCATCCCCCCTGCACCTCCCTGCATCCCTCCTACATCCCTCCTGCAACCCCCTGCATCCCTCCTGCACCCCCATTGCATCCCCCTTGCATCCCTCCTGCAACCCCCTACATCCCTCCCACACCCCTCCCGCACTCGTTGTCACTCCCCACCAACCGAGGCCGTACTCACGCTCTTAGGACCCGCAGCACATCGGCCCGCCGCTGCCGGGCGTTGCCGGTTGTGATGGCACGGAACCGCTGCCTGTCGATGGCCCATAGGCGCACGGGGCCGAGCGCTGGGGCGAAGCGAAGTGAGCGAAGTGCCGTGGGTAGCGGGTCCGGACGCTGGGGGCACGCGGACAGGAGCTCACTTACCCCGCACGGTGGCGGTGCGCCGGCAGTGGTACAGGATGGCCAACTCGCCGAAAACGTCCCCGGGCCCCAACGTACGGAGCTGCCGTCCCCGCTGGCTCACGCTCAGGCGTCCCTCTGCGGGGTGCGGGCGGCCTCGTGCACCGCGGCGGCCACGCACACGCACACGCGCGCCCGGGGTTGCGGGGCTGCGGGGCGAGCGGGCGGCGGCCTCGCACGTTGGGTACGCACACGGCGACGCGGCCCGGTTCTCGCAGCCCTCCCTCACCTGCCACGATGTACATGGCCGTCCCTTCGTCGCCCTCGGCCACCACCGCGTCGCCGTCCTCGCGTCGCACGGTCACGAAGCTCCGCGTCAGAGCTTCGGGGCAGCCCTCTCCCAAACGCCTCAAGAAGTCGCTGCGCCGCACGGCCTCCGCCATCAGGGCCAGGTCCCTGCGGGCACGGGGACGGCGGTGGGGCGGTCCCCAACCTCGGCTTCACCCCCCATCCTCCCGCTTTCCGCCGGGTACCTTTGCGAGTGGGTTCCGGGGCTCGGCGGGGCCGCGGCGGCGTCGCCCTGGAGGGGCTCGGGCACGATTGTGGGGCCGTGGAGGTGCGGGGAGCCGGGGGGCGGCTCGGCGTCCGGGAGGTCCCCGCTGTCGGCCGGTCCCCGCGCCGCGCGTTGCAGGAAGGCGCGCTCCTCCTGCAGCCTCAGGTCCCGCAGCCACCGCTCCATCGCGTATCCCTGAGAAAGCGGGACGGCGTGGTCAACCGGAGCCACCCTCCCGGGATAGCGGCTGCGGGACGGTGCGGGACGGCCCCGATGCACGGGGAACGTTAGCTCTGGGCACGGGGCCACCTGGCACAGGCGATGTCTGAACAGCTCCGCGGCAGGGGGAGGGCTCTGAGGGCGCTCTGTGCCCGAGCAAAGGTCGCCCCGCCGGGATGGGACGGGATGGGACGAGACGGGAAGGGACCCGGTGCCCACCCCACTTTCGCGGCCACCGGCACCACCACCCCAACCCCGCCTGGACCCGGCTGCGGACACAGCCCCGCGGCCCTCGCCCGCACGGCCCCTACCCACCTCCGATCCCGCGTTGAGCGCCGACTCCTCCCATCTGCGGGTCACCGCACCGCCCCGCACCCCGCGCGGTGACACATTAACCCGCCCCGCCTCTCCTCGGGCACGTGCTGACCCGTGCCCGCAGACACCGCGCACCGAGCCTGCCCGGAGTCCCGCGCATCCGTCCCGCACCCGCCGCGCATCCACCCCGTGGCGACCCGCACCCGTCCTGCACGCACCGCGCACCCATTCCGCGAGCACCGCGCTCCCGGCGGGATCGTGCGGGTGGGAGCCGCGGGCGAGCGGCGGCGGTGCGAGGTGCCGGGGCTGCGTGAGGCCACCGGGGCGGAGTCTGCGGGGTGCCACCCCCTATCCCCCCCATTCCCCGGGGCAGAGCGGAGCGGAGCGGAGCGCTGCGCGGATCGAGGCATGGCGGCGGGGGCGGGAGGTGAGAAGCGGATCCTGTGCGTGGGGCTGGTGTGCCTCGACGTGATCAGCGTGGTGGACGCGTACCCGGCCGAGGACAGCGATACGAGGTACCGCCCCGTGCGGCGCCCCGCACGGCGTCCCGCTCGGCGTCCCGCACGCTGACCCCGCGCCCCACAGGTGCCTGACGCAGCGGTGGCAGCGCGGGGGGAACGCCTCCAACTCGTGCACGGTGCTGGCGCTGCTGGGCGCTCCCTGCTCCTTCATGGGCTCCTTGGCACCCGGGCACGCGGCAGAGTGAGTAGGGACGGCAAGACTGGCGGGGGACCGGGGGGACACGGGGCCGGGCGCCCGCAAGCCCGCTTCTCCCCGTCGCCCCCCGACCCCGTATGTGCCCCCAGCTTCATCGTGGCGGATTTTCGGCGCCGCGGCGTGGACGTGACGCACGTCGCCTGGCAGCCCCACGGGGACGTGCCCTGCGCCTGCTGCGTGGTCAGCGCCGCCAGCGGCTCGCGGACCATCGTGCTGCACGACACGTGGGTCCCTTTCCCCCGGGATTCCCGGCCCCGCCGCGATCAGCGGAGCTCCCGCAGGGCAGCGGGTCGGCCGGAGGGCGGCCCCGGTTAATCATTCCCCGCCTGCCCGGGGCCCCTCGCCCGGGGCAGAGGCGAGGCGTCGGGCTGCCCTTCGCCCGCAGGAACCTGCCCGACGTCACCGAGCGCGACTTCGCGCGGGTCGACCTGGCTCACTACAAGTGGATCCACTGGGAGGTGCGGGGCGGCGCGGCGAGGGCTCCGAAAGGGGCGTGGCTCGCCGTGACCGCGCCCCCTGTCCCTTCAGGCCCGCAACGCGGTGGAGCAGGAGCGGATGATGCTCCGCGTGGAGCGACACAACAGCGCGCTGCCGCCCGCCCAGCGCATCCGCACGTCTGTGGAGGTGGAGAAGCCGCGGGACGAACTGCTGCCGCTCCTGGCGCACGGCGACGTGGTACGGCCCGGACACGCCCACCTCGCCACGCCCCGACGGCGATTGGTCCGATCGGGGAAGGGGGCGGGGCCAGAATGATAGTGGGCGTGACAAAACGCGGGTGTGGCTCGAAAGGGGGGCGTGGCCTGAGAGAGTCGAGCGGGTCCCGGGGGGCGCGGAGGAACGCCGGCCCGTCACCCCCCGCAGGTGTTCATCAGCAAGGACCTGGCCAAGCACTTCGGCTACGAGACGGCGGCCGAGGCGCTGCGGGGGCTGCGGGGCCGCGTTCGGCCAGGGTAAGGCGTGGGGACGGGACGGCGACGGCGCGGGCTGGGAAGGGCGGACCGCGGTTGCGGGTGGGTCGCGGGTGGGGTTCTGCCCGCCCCCGCCCCAGCTGCAGCCCCGCAGCGCGACCATGATCTGCGCGTGGGCCGAGGAGGGCGCCGACGCGCTGGAGCCGGACGGGACCCTGGTGCACGTCGACGCGTTCCCACCGGAGCGGCTGGTGGACACGTTGGGGGCCGGAGACACCTTCAACGCCGCCGTCATCTTCGCGCTGTCAGGAGGTGGGCGCAGCCTCGGCGGTTCGGCACGGCTCGGCCTCGCACCTCCCCGCGGCGCCTCACGACTCCCCCGTGTCCGTCACTCCCCCCCCCAGGGCAGAGCCTGCGGGACGCTCTCACCTTCGGCTGCCGCATCGCGGGGAAGAAGTGCGGGATCCACGGCTACGACGGCATCGTCTGAGCCGCGCGGTGCCCCCCGCCTCGCGCCCAATAAAGCTCGCGGACCCCCTCCACCGCCTCCTGCCGGAGCCCCCGCGTGCCCCCCTGCTCTGTTCACACTGTGGACGGCAGAGGCTGTATTCCTCGGCACTGCGTTACAGCGCGAACCCGCGTGTCTAGAATCCCCCGTCTTCCCCCACCGGGCCCGCTGCGGCGGGGGAAGCGCGTGGGGAGGCCCTCAACCCCCTCAGCCCTCACAGCCGTGGGGCGGAGAACCGCCCGCAGCCCCTTCTCGTGCCTACATCTCACCGGGATCCCCCCAGGCTGGGGATGCCGGCGTCTCGGGGGGCTCGACCCGGAGCTCTCTGTCCTCGATGGCCGTCTCCGATTCCACTGTCTCATCCTCTTCCAAGGGGGCTCCAACCTCGGGGATTCTTTGCCCCTCTGCCTGGACGCCGCCATCCCCCCGCAGAACCTGCCCCTCTGGGGGGCTGCTCGCCCCCGCGTCCCCCCCCGGCCTCTCCTCCCCCACCGCGGGGATCCCCTCCTGCTCCCCAGTGTGCCCCTCCACCCTCCCCTCGAGGGCAGCGCCGTCTCCTCGCGGGGGTCCCCGTGCCGGGGCGGGTAGCAGCAACTCGGGGGGGTCCAGCAGTCCGTCCCCGCTGCGGTCTCGCTGCTCCAGAGCGCGGTCCACTAGCGCGGCCACCTGCGGGGACGGGAATGGATGGGGACGCAGTGAGAGCGGAGCTCAGCACAGGGACCCCGCGGGGTGTGAACCCCCGCACGCACCGCCTCGGAGCTGGGCCGCCCTGCGCCCCCCTGGGTCAGCACCGCCCCGAGCAGCTGCAGCAGCTCCAGTCCGTCCAGCTGCCCACTCCGGTCGTGGTCGTGCATCGCGAAGAGGAAGAGCAGAGCTACAGGCACGAGGCGAGGGGCATAGGGCTGACAGTCACTCGCCCCCCCAGAACGGCCGCCCTCTTCTCCCCCCTCCCACCGCACAGCCTTACCCTGCTCCCTTGTCATCTCATCCGCGTCCCGCTGCGGCGGTCCCAAACTCCGCACAGCGCTACGCAGCAACCTGGGGACAGCAGGGCCTGGGAGGAGGGCACGCACTCTCCCGTCCCACGGCCAGACCCGGTTCTCCAGCCCCGCAGCCACCCAACCCCGCATCCCCACTGCCCTGCAACCACTCTCGGGGTTCCCGAACGCCCCGGCCGTCGTCCCACCCCCTCCTCCGGGCATCTTCGTACCCTCCGGCCCCAGGGTCAGGCACTCACTGCAGAGCGGGGGGCTCCGGGCTCAGCGGGTCGGGGCCGGGATCCGTCCCCACGGCCGCGGGGGGCTCAGGTCTGGACGGGGAATATAGGAAGGGGGATTACTGCGGCGCCTCTTACCACCGCCTGGCCCGCAGCCCCCGTGCTGCCCCCGCACCGCGGCCCCGACCCTCAGCATCTGGTGCGCAACCCCGCAATTGGGTAACCCCCGCACCTACGTGAAACCGTGCCGTTGTGCAATTCCTCTGAATCTGAGCTGCGTACAACCGGTGTGACCCCCGCACCTGCGTGCCCCCCGCACCTGTGTGCCCCCCGCACCTTGTCATCCCGCACCACAGCACCCTTCATCGGCACAGCCCCGCTACTCTCCTCTCCCGCACCCCGTACCGCAGCACCCCGTCCTTGGGAGCCGCCCGGGCGGCGGGGCTGAGCAGCAGCAGCAGCAGCAGCGGAGGTGGGGCCGCTCGCGGGGCTCTCATCCCGCAGCCGGCGCGGACCCACGCGTGGAGCCGCCACGCACGCACACTCGAGGAGGTATTCCGGGCCACAGCGACTCTGCCACCCGCACACGGACTATCCTGGGCATGCACACACGGCGGTGTCCCCCCCGCCCCGCCCCGGGCCACGTCGCCGGCCCCGCCTCGCCGCGCCCGGAGACTTCACTTCTGCCGGCAGCGCAGGGGTTAACCGGCGTCCGCCGCTCTGCCCGGCACAAAGATGGCCGCCGACGCCACGCCCGCCCGGCTGTGGGCGGGGCCACGCAGGGGGCGGGGCCGGGCGGTCCCGGCAGCGGCGGCGATGGGCACGGAGGGGCCGCGGGGCGCCGCGCTGCTCCCGCTGCTCCCGGTGCCGTCGCCGCTGTTGTTGTTGCTGGCGGCGGCCGCCGCGCTGCTCGGCTGCCTCTGGGCGAGATCCCCGCGCCGTTCCCCGCAGCCGCCTCTGCTGGCCGGCGGCCCGGGGCTTCGTTCCTTCCTGCGGCGGCACTGCCCGGCCGTGCGGGAGCCGTTCCGTCCCACCGCGTGGTGCTGCGGGGGGCGGCTGCAGACCGTGAGCCGAGCGCTGCTGCAAAGCCGACCTCACGTCGGGTATCGCAGGTGGGGAGGGATGGGGTCGGGGGAACGGGGCGGGTTGGGTTGGGGGCGGGGGAACGGGACCAGGGATGCGACGGGTGGGGAACGGGGTACGGGGGATGAGGCAGAACAGGTGGGGACAGGGATTGAGGATGGAATAGAGGGGGTAGGGATGGGCCTGGCGTGGGACGGGTGAGGACGGGACCGGTGGTACCACGGCCAGTGTTCTCCTGTCCGCATCCCCGCCCCGCAGTGAGGCCATCCGCACACCCGACGGCGGGCAGCTCATCCTGGATTGGGCCGATGACGGCAGCGCCGCCGAATGTCCCACGGTACTGCTGCTGCCGGGGCTGACGGGGAACAGCCAGGCCGCCTACATACTGCACCTGGTGCGAGAGGCGTGCGGTGCCGGCTACAGGTGAGTGCTGGGGGCGGGGGGAGGGTCAACCCAGCGCCTCTACTGACGCTGCTCTCCTCTCTGTAGGGCCGTCGTGCTCAACAACCGGGGCTGCCGCGGTGAGGAGCTGCTGGTGAGATCCCACCCCGGCTCCTACCCAGATCCCTGCCCTATAGCTGGGCACAGCGGGGTCCCAAAGAGCTCTGCCTCCCCCAGACCCCCAGGACCTTCTGTGCCAGCAACACCGAAGACCTGGAGACGGCCATCACACACATCCACCACCAGTACCCGCATGCCCCGCTGCTGGCTGTCGGTGTATCACTGGGAGGGTATGGCACTAAGAAGGGGGGATGGTCGGGAGTGGCACAGGAGACCCCTCCCCCATCCCTGCCCACTCCCCTGCAGGATGCAGGTGCTGAACTACCTGGCGCGGGCAGGACACGAAGCGGGACTGGTGGCCGCCATGGCCATTTCTGCATGCTGGGACTCCATGGAGACAACGGCATCGCTGGAGCAGCCACTCAACACGTGGCTCTTCAACCGCCGTCTGGCTGCCGGGATGCGGCACCTCATCCGCAGGTGGGGGGCACACCTGGATGGGGGGGGTGGCACCCCACCCTGACCCCAGGTCTGCAGGCCAGGGGGAGGCGGGCATCACCCTGCCCTGACTTGGGGTCCCTGCAGGCACCGTGCGGTGATCGGGGACACGGTGGATGTGGAGCACATCCTGAAGGTAGAACCCACCCCTTTGACTCCCCCCTCCCTCTGCACCAAGTGCCACCCACCACCCCCTGCTCCTCCCCTCGCCCCCAGGCACGCACCATCCGGGAGTTTGATGAGCGTTACACCGCTCTCGCCTTTGGGTACGGCTCCTGCACAGAGTATTACCGTGCTGCCAGCCCCGCCAGCAGCCTGCACTGCATCCGCGTGCCCACGCTGTGCCTCAACGCCGCCGACGACCCCTTCTCCCCCCTGCACGGTGAGTGGGGCTGGGAAGGGCCGTTCCCACCCCCGTGGTGTTGCGGGGCCGGCGGCTGACCCACGTGTCCCCTCGCAGCCATCCCCGTGGCGGCCGCCTGGCACCTGCCCCACGTGGCACTGCTGGTGACATCGTGCGGCGGCCACATCGGATTCCTGGAGGGGCTGCTGCCACGGCACGGTGGCCTCATGGAGCGCCTCTTCCTGCAGTTTGTCACTGCCGTGTTCCAACACGGAGAGGAGCTGAGCAGGCTGCAGGAAGGGGGGGCTGCGGAGGGGTTCAGCACCTGATGTCCCCCGTGAACCCCCTCCAAATCCCAATAAACCCATTTCCGTCCCTACTGACCCCTCTTCCACCCCTAGAGCCCCATTCTCATCCCTCTCCCACCTCAGCACTGGGGCACAGAGGGTAAAGTATGCAGACAAGGAGGCCAGACCCTTATAGCCCCAGCACACACAACATCTTCACGCTCTGGGTTTAATGGTAGGGCCAAGGAGCAGCTCCACTCCAGCCACTGGCACGCTGCATCCCATCGCCATGCCGGCGCTGCATCCCAATGCAGTCCCACTCCCACAGCGTGCCTGGGGCCGGGCCCATCCACCCCCCCAGTGCAGCAGGGAGGGTGCCTAGAGGAAGCCAGGGAAGGCAATCTGCAGCAGCACGATGCTGCCCACGATGAGCGCTGCACACAGCAGCAGCAGCAGCCAGACGGGCAGCGACCCTGGGGTGGGGGGAGAGGAGACTGAGTGGGGGTGATGCCCTGGGGGGTGGCCCGACCCCACAGCCCCACACACATACGGCGAGCAGGGAGCAGGTGCAGCTTGCAGCGGCTGTCCACGGCCACACTGAGCAGCGCTGCCTCATTCCCCGCCAACAGCTCCCGTCCGTGCTCGCTCTCAGGCACGAAGGCCACGTCGGTGACAACGATGCCATGTGCCTCCTTCACATAGTACAGCCTCTGAAGGGGGACACGCATGAGGTGGGGTCGCCCCCCGTGCCCACCCTGTGCCCTCCCTGTGCCGCACTCACCTGCAGAGAGAAGGCGATGTGCACAGCGACAGAGCCGGTGACAGTGCCCAGCCCCAGAAATGTGCCCGAATCACTGCGGGGAGGTGGGCAGTGAGCAGGGCTGGGAGCGGATGGGGGGTGTGGAGGGGGTGGGACCTCCCCGCATACCTGACGGAGAGGCAGGAGATGACCTCGGAGCCGCAGGGCCGCGTCAGCAGCGGCAGGAAGGTGCCCCCGTCCCACTTGGTCAGGTAGCAGGGCGGTGGGCGACGCTCCCGCTTGTGGGGCACCTGCACCGTGTAGAGCCGCAGTGCCCCGCGGTCGTCCTCCACCGTCCCGAAGCTGGCACGGGGCAGCAAAGGTGAGCCGCGGCCGCGCTGCCAGGGGGCGGCCCCGTGCGGTCACATCCACCGTCCTACGTTGTCCTACAGCCCCGGGGCCACCCCCCGCCCCGCACCCACCGGCAGGCCTGGTAGCGGTACGCGGTGCTGGGGATGCCGGGCAGGTTCTCGTTCCATTGCAGCCCTGTCACCAGCTGGTCCCGCTGCCACACGCGGCACTGCAGGTCCCGTCCCGCCGTCACCACCTGCGGAGCACGCGATGGATGAGGCTCACGGGGCCGTGCGGGGCTTCGTGCTCCCAGCCCGTGCCCCCCACCCACCTTATTGTCGGGACCCAGCGTGATGTCCTCGATCTCCCCATCATGCGCCTTGAACTCCAGCGCCTTCTTCATGCTGGGGAACTGCGGCGGCCGTCAGCGGGTCCCCGATAGGTGACCCCCCCGGGCCCTCCCGCCCCGCTCCCACCTCCCAGAGCCGCAGGAATCCGTCGGCACCGCCGGTGACGAGCAGCGTGCCGTCGGCGCTGAAGCGCACGGCCTTCTGCAGCGCGTCGGGACTGAAGTCGGTGCGCACGCGGTGCAGGCTCTCCACCGTCACCTCTTCGCCGCCGCTCCGCGTCTCACCGCGCTCCGCGGGGCCGGCGCCCTTCCGCCTGCGCGGGCCCTTCTCCTCCGCGGCTGCGGGAACGGAGAGCCGCCGGCTGAGCGCTCCGCACCCGGCACCCGGCACCCGTCGCCCCGCGGCCCCGCTCACCGTCGCCGCCTCCCGCGCCGTCCGCCCGCACGGAGAGCCGCAGGATGTGGCAGCTGTGGTCCTGCCCCGCCGCGATGAAGTCCCCGCTCAGCGCCATGCTCATCGTGGCGCGGGTCTCGGTGTCGTGGCAGTGCAGCAGCGACGCGCTCAGCCGCCCCCCGATCTGCTCCAGCTGCAGGAAGTGCTGCGGGGACACCGCCGCTCAGCCCCGCGCACCGGGACCCCCCGCGACCCTCCCAACCCCCCGGAGCCGCGCAGCACCGTACCACTCCATTGCCGATTCCGGTTTTGGCCGCTCCTCCGCCTCCAGCGGTGATGGCGAGGCCGCGGCGCGGGTGCAGCCGCACGGTGTACAGCGGGAAAGGCGCCCGGTACAGCTCGGTCGGGCGCGGCGCCATTGCGGGAACGGCGCGCCGCGTCACCGCCCCGCCCACCGCTGGCCCCGCCCACCGCTGGCCCCGCCCACCGCTGGCCCCGCCCACTTCGCGCATATCGCCCCGCCCCCTGCGCGGTACCGTCTCCACGTGCGCCCCGCGCTACCGCAGAACGCGCAGCCCCGTGGGTACCCCGACCCCCCC